TGCCAGTAGCCACGTGGGGAACCTTGGAAGTAAATCACGCACTAGTCCCCTAGTAATAGCTTGACTATAAAGCCCAAACTAAACTAGATTGACTGAAATCCAATGTAAGACCCTAAAACAAGAACACCGTTAGGCGAAACAACATATATGCTACGCTTCCTCGTTCTCATTAATTAAGAAGCTAAATTGTGAAAATTGACAGCAATAATAGTTTAATTAATACAATAGCTAGTGACTAACATACTGAACAGTGACGATCTGGGGAGCTGCAAATGCAGAGAGGGTTTATACTTTAGGCTGATGACGAAAAATGACAATACAATGTTTCACTGAAAGACAGAGCCTCTGATTCAAAGCCAGAGATAAAATGTTGCTCACAATCCCAAGAGGAACAATGATAAAATTGTTGTAGGTAGCAATGTAAACTTTTGAATGCAGCTAATAAAACTATACTCAAAGAATGTAAAGAAGATATGTCTATAACGAACAGGTAAAAACCCTAGTGTAAATTTATAAACTATAAAAAAATGCAAACAAATGGAAATTCTAGGAGTAACTTTTTCTGGTATTTTTTTTGCGTGGGAGTACTGGGGTTTGAACTCTAGGGCCTCATCTTGCTAGGCAGGCGATCTATCCACTTGGCTACTCTGCCAGCCCCAAATTGAAATTTTAGAACTGAAAAATAGTATCTGAAATTAAAAAAATTATTAAATGGATTTTTCTCATGAGAAGCAATAGAAGAATCTATGAACCTGAAGACAGATTAAGATAGATTTATATTACTCACTACACACACACAACAGATTTATTTATTTATCACAAAGAATGATGGGTACTGTAAAATAATATAAAAAGGTAATTGGAATCTCAGAAGAGAATGAGCCAGAAAAAATGTTTGAAGAAATACTGGCTGAAAAAATCTCCAAAATTTGTGAAAATAGACAAGAATCTCAGTGAAATCCAAGAGTATGAATATAATGCCCCCCAAAAAAAAACCCACACAAGAAAATGTCATGAAAAATACAGGAGGAGTACAGCAAAGTGTCAGTCTCCACTCAAATTATCATATCGGCAAAGGCTGACATTGTAACTTTTTCAGAATTTTTCTGGAATTTAATCAAAATCTTACAGCAGCCAAGAGACTGTAAATGATGAAGCAGAAACATTGCTAAGCGCTGTGACTTTTCCACTCACTTGCCTCCGCCCCAGTTTCTCAGCATGGCAGCTGCAGCATAGGGTTGGCGCCTAAGTTCCTACTGCGCCTGCTGGTGCAGCAGGCTTAATTAGGACTTTGATTTAAAAATACCATGTTTGAGCATTTTGACCTGGCTTGTGGTTCCTTGAGGGACTGGCATAGAGGCTGACTTTTTTTTTTTTCTTCCCATTCAGGTGAAAGCTGCTTTCCTAGAGATGGTTGTCATAACATGCAAAATCACATACCATCCTATTAGTTTATTTGTTCCTCTTTTTCTCTCTTGCAATTTCCCTTTGCATTTTGTTTTTATACACACACACACACACACACACACACACACAAATCAAAACAGCACTAACAAATTCAGCAAAGCCAGAATACAATATTTACACTTACAAAAAATCAGTTGTGTTTCTAACAATGAACAGTCCAGAAAAGAAGTTAAGGAAACCAATCTCACTGAAAATGGCAATCAAAAGTAATAAAATACTTAGGTGTTTGTTTGTTGCTGTTGTTTTACTTGGGGAGGGAGTGGCACTGGCTAGGGTTAGCCAACTTGAGCCACTCCCCAGCCATTCTTGCTTTTTGTTATTTTTCAGATATGGTCTCACTTTTTTCCCTGGCTGACCTTGGACCCCAATCCTTCTACCTACACCTTCCATGTAGCCGAGGGCACCAGTGTGCCACACAACTGACTTGCTCTTTGAGATGTGGTCTCACTAACTTTTTGTTCAGGGCTGGCTTGAACTGTATCTTACTGTCTCTGCCTCCCAATAGCTGGGATAACAGGAGTGAGTCATTGCACCTGGCAACGGAATACTTAAATTTAACTCAGCTCTCCAGACAGACTGGAGAAAGAGAAAGAATGCATGCAGTCTTTAGGGAGATAACAGTTTAGAATTTTTTTAGGTCACTTGAAACACATCAATCCACAGATCCAGAAGTCCAAGAAAACCCAAGAAGAGTAAATAAAAGGAAACCCACTTAGTCATGCACAGAATAAACCTCACATAAATCCCAAAATAGGACCTCTATTTGAAAAAGTACATTGATAAAAGACCGTTACCACTTAAAATCCACCAATGAAGAAAACAAACAACTAAATAATTAAGAAATAACCAAAGGCAGCTTCACCTGAGTGAGAGGACAAAAAAAAAAAAAAAGTCAGTCTTTATGCCAGTCCCTCAAGGCAACCCTATGCTGCAGCTGCCATGCTGAGAAACTGGGGCGGAGGCAAGTGAGTGGAAAAGTCACAGGCCTTAGCAATGTTCTGCCTTCTTCATCATTTAGCAGTCTCTTGGCTGCTGTAAGATTTTTGATTAAATTCCAGAAAAATTCTGAAAAAGTTACCAATGTCAGCCTTTGCCTATACGATAATTGACTGGAAGACTGACTCTTTGATGTCTCTACTCTGTATTTCAAGACACGAATCTTGTATGGTGTTTTTGTTTGCCATTCGTGCTGTTTCCCACTAGCAGAATCACTTTATGATTCCTAGCCCACCAGCAAAAGCAGCCCAGCACCAAGACTGTTCTCAGACATTGAGTTTTCACCCCTGGGTGGCCCCTGGTTAAGCTTCTAAGTTTAATAATTCCAACTTCTTTTTATGTCCTTAGCCCTAAGTTTGGCTACCGCTAGTGCTATTTCTACTCTGTGATAACCTCAGATTTCTTTCAACCTTTCCATTACGTAATAATATTACACTTCATCATCAGCTGCTCCTGATTGGAGTTCGGTTTTGGTTTTGTTTGTTTGTTCAGGTGCTGGGATTGAAGCACGCAGCCCCGTACAGTTTTGCACTGATGTACTCAGTCGTTAACTGCCCCGATTGCATGCTCTTTTTGCTTTTGTTTGTTTTGAGTGGGGATTGCCGCATTCACTGACTTACACCCCCGCCCTTCTGACTGGGTCTTGACTAAACAGTGGGTTTTAATTCTTTCTCATTTTTCAGGAACAACAGAGAACTGCTGTTCCAACCTTGCAGAAAAGTATATGATGTTCCTTTCCACTGTCTTGATCCTCTCCTAACCAGCATGCCTCCAGAGAACTGTGCTTTCACTGGTATCTAGTCTCAATAGGAAAAATGGTTCTGAACGGACATTTTTGTCTTTTGCTTTTTGTTAATTTTTGTTTGTTCCTCATACCAAATAGCAGGTAAATGGAGTATTTCCTTACACTTGACAAAATAGATAAACCTCCCCTCAAGTAGAGTAACACAAATGAAACAAAAAAATCAATCGTAGGGTTGAGCTACTGAAACTTATTTCAATTTATTGTGACTATAATAGTTGGGAAATGTCCCAATTCACACCGTCCACTTAGCATGCTTGGGAGTTCTGGGTTGTCAAGGAGCCAACAAATGTCTGTTGCATTACCCTCGTGACTAAGGCATTACTAGTTACTGATTGAGCCGCGACATAGAGTGAGCTTTGTTCTTTAATCTGAAAAAGACCAGCTTACGCACAGGATTGTGATAAGGCGTGGGGCATTGGGGTGTCACAATGCCACCATGAAAAGATATTAGTCAAGCTTCATGTTGGCTAGCTGCACAGACTATGTATGACGGTCAATTTTGTTGAACTCAGAATGAAGAATGTACTTATGCTTTCTGGCACTCTACTTACAGCTCTATGCCCTAGAGAAACTCAAGCAGATGTGGTGTAGGGATGTCAACAAAGATGCTTACCACAGTAGAAGAATGAATAGCGCAACCGAATCATCCAGATTGAATGCATAAGGATTTGATTGTGCTTTAAGCTAGTTCAAGGTAAATTATTATATAGAATTATTAAATTAGTCGAATTAAGTATACGTGTAGTATAGCGAACTCAGTATGGATAAACAAGGATGAACTTTAGAAATTCTAGAATGATCTGTATAGGTATAAAAAGCTCAAAATAATGCAACTTTTTACTGGGATAAGAATATATTCCAAAATATCATAATCAAAAAAGGTTAACCAATTTACAATGTAGTGCTTACCTTTTAGTTCTGGAGAACAAGTATGAAGAAAGGGTCTTCAAACTATTATGTTTGTTTAAATGATACTCCAATAATTTAACAAAGTTAGAGTATGCACAAAAGAATGTTTACCATCATGAGCTGTGTCCTAGAGAAACTAGAGGCCAACATGGTGTTTATTATTATCGTGTAAGCTTGAATATTTCAATAATAGAAAAATTACTCGGTTCGAGAGCAAGGAGAAATGTCACAAGCTGAGAGTAATTGGCTTAGTAGCTACTATGCGCTATTGGAGTAGAGAGAGAGCGCGTCTTTCTGGATGTCTCCATCGAGGTGACTGTGGATTTAACTTTGTTTTCGCCCTGTCGCCATTTTCTTTTATTTGCTGTGTTAAAACTTTGGTGAAAGACTGTGTTGCAAGCTATTCGAGTAGCTTAGTCGATGAATGTGTATAGGAGCAGGAGCCGAGAAAGCCAGAAAGAAGGAAATGCAAGTAAAATGGTGACTATGAGGTTGCACAAGTATGTGTAGAGGGGTTGAGGTCAGGTGTAGAAAGAGAAGAATACTGAATGAGTTGGGTGTGATCCGAGTGCGAACATGGCACAGGACAGGAAGATATGACTAGAAAGATATGGATTGTCGTCACTGTCTTGAGCTAGAGTATACAACTCTTTGGGGCAAGAACTGGATCTTATGCTTGGCTTTTCATTTCTGCTATCTATTTCCCTTCCAGCTGGGCCTTAATTGCATTTTATTGACTGTTTGCCACTCTGTACTGTCAGCAAAGTTTGTAGCTCACACATTAATATTCTAATCTATCATATTGATTCTACTTGACACTCACCTCTTAGGTTTAGTTGCTGGAGAGCTGTTTTTAAAGATAAAAACGATGTGGAAGATAACTTATTTGATTGTTGATTGCATCTAAACTCACCAGGCTTCTCAGATCCCCTATATTTCTTGGAATCTCTTTGATTGCATTAATCTGAGATATCAAGTTTTTTAAGTTGGAGTCATATTAGACAGCTCTTCTGGAAGTCTTGTTAACTGTAACAAAGATTTAAACAATTATGATTTTATAAATTCAGCTACATATCACTGACGGTACATGGGTATAAATCGGAACTAAAAGGAAACCTTTATGTAGAAGATGACACTTGCAATGGCCTGTTAAGAATGAGAAGGATTGGACAGAAGTTACGGGATACTAAAGCAAGGCTAATGCCATGCATAAACATGGCTAATGAGGGAGCCGACCAGGAAGGAGTGGGAATGGGAGACAGGGAGATAGGTTTGGATAGAGAACCAGGCTAAATAACAAGCTTGAAACCAGGCCAATAAAGAAGGGCAATTTCAACATAGCTGCACATGCAGCCATTTGCATTTCCTTTAACTTGCTTCAGCACTTATCAGGAAGTATCTGAGAACAGTGTGAGACAGAATTCCTGTGTGGGCAGGAGTAAAAGCCCCATAGTTTAATTCCGACTCATCTTTTTCAGAGCATGACTCGTTAGCAATCATTTGTTAGATAAATTAATCTTTTGGGCTTTCACTTCACTCCCAGGGGACATAAAGTCATATTTTCAAACATATGGGATATTCTTCTTGAGGAGGAGTTCTTATAAACAATTCTCTCCATCTGGAAATCTTTAAAGTGGTGTTACAAGGATGTGAACTGGTGCCTATGGCAAAGCCGTTCACTTTGAGTAGGCAATAGATATGTATCTCTAGGTTTCCTTTCCTTGTGGTGTGTGTGTGTGTGGCGTGACAAGGTCTCACTTGTAGCCCAGGCCACCCTCAAACTGCCTGCGCTTATCCTCCCAAACTGCATGTGCCACCTGCCCAACTGCATCCTGGATTTCTGAAAGACATGTCATAATTAATTTGTAGTCCTCTGGAATGAAGTCTGATAGCTTTGATAAGAGCTGCTAAAAGAGAGACTAAGTCAGAGAGGTCGCCAGGAGGCTTCTGGAGTCACCTAGGCATGAAAGGCCAGGCTATAGTTCCGCTGGAACCCACAGGGCAATTGGAAACTGAGGAGGAGCCCTGGCCATGACAGCTCCAAATAGGCACTTTCCAGTGACTGAGCACATGCAAAGAAGACAGGGCACGGGAAGGTTTCTAAGAAGTTAATAAAGCACGGAAAGTTAAAGGATGTGATCTTGGCATGCAAGCTACAGAAGAGAGTGAGAGAACAAAAAATTAGTCACAGAATTACCTGATGATATATGACAGAACTAAAAAGAGTTATTTGATACAACCGCGACTTTTCAAAAAAAACAATGTATATCATTACTTATTCATTCTACTTAGAGACAAATATTTCCTTGGGGGATCCCGCTGGAAATGTATTAAATAATGGATGGTATATTTAATTAATTAATTTTTTTTGGCAGTAATGGGGTTTGAGCTTAAGGCCTCAACGCTTGCTTAAGTGGTGCTCTACCACTTGACCCAGTCCACCAGCTCTTTTTGCTTTTAGTTATTTTTCAGATAGGGTCTTGAGTTTTTGCCCAGGCCTGCCTTTGACTGTAATATACTTACTATACTTCCCATATAGCTTGGATTATAGGCATGACCCATCACACTCAGCTTATTAGTTGAGATGAGATGTCATTCACTCTTTTATTTACCCTGGCTGGTCTTGAACTGTGATCCTTCTGATACCTGCCTCTTAAGTACCTGGACTATAGGCGTGAGTCATCATGCCTGGCCAGATGTTATATTTTAAAAGGTGAAATAAGTTTGGACCTGAGCTATGTCCCCAGCCATAGATAGATAGATGAATAAATAGATAAACATGCCAGTTGTTGTTTTTTAACAAAAGTTTCACAGAACTAGGTGTTTACTATCAGACCTTTGGGAATCTTGTTTTTAGGACATTAGTCCAATATTAGCCATAGCTATAGCTATGGTTACTGAAATGTAAGATAAGTTGGTGGGGAAGGAGGGAGCCTATCTTAAAAAGCATTTCACCTAAGTTTATAACACAGATACACTACATCTTTGATTCTGATCACTGTGAATCCTCTTTCCCAAAGCACAAAGTATGTCATTTACCTTTCTCCCATTAGTCCTGACTTATAATGAGCTCTTCTAGTGAATTGAGTTGGCACAGTTCAATAGGAAAACACATAAATTTGATTGCTTGAGAAGTTTAATTTCTGATTCTTTTTAAATTGCATACTCTCTGAAGGTATTGTCTGTAATTGGTTTTCTGAAAGATCAAGTGCTTGCAAATTTTCTAAAGTACACAATTCTGAAGGGAAAGTTTCAAACTTGTTGCAGGATAAATAAGTTACATGGGAGTGATACATATCAGAAATAGGTGGAGGAATTTTCTTATTTGGTTTTTACCAAGATCCAGGTATTCAAGATCAGTTAGAGAACACAAGTGCTCAGAAAATATGAGGAGTTTGTTTTCATTCAACTCTAAATGAAGCAGTTGTTTACTGAAAGATAGATCCACAGGTATTTCTGAAATAGAATTTCCATTAAAACTCAAATAATACAATGAGTCTAAGGCACACAGTCCTACTGGGAAATACACTATTTTATTATAATTCAATTCAACTTTAGTTAGTTTTCTGCAGCTTTTTATTTCAATGGGAACATATGTGATAATATTTCCTGAAAATTCCAGGCTATGTATATTATTAAGATGTGATATATGTTCAGTTAGTCTCACCATATTATTTTGTTTACATGGAGTTTTCTTAAGTTTTTGAGCTTATGGATGCTTTTTAGGAAGTTTCTGTCAATTTATTGTCACTAAGACTAAGCCATTCCATCATCAGACAGTAGGAAATTTTTTCTGGTATATTTTTCAGTAAATTTTCATCAAGTATAGAATCCTAAGTTCCTTGAAATTCTCAATTTTGTGGTGAAATAACTTTCAATTTATTGTCAGCCAGTCGGAGTTCTTTCATTTTGGGTAACTGAAAAATTTCCACAGCCAAAAAGGTAAGTTTATTGTGATCCAATGAAAGCTTTTCTAAACATTTAAGTTCTCTAATTTCTTTGGGAGACTTTCTATTCAGGTTCCCAGTGAGGTTTAGTGAAATTAATTTTGGAAGGAAGCATAGAGCTTTAGGAAATATTTCTAACTGATTAATTCTAGATGTGAGAATCCTCAAGTTTTCAAACTAGGCAGGGTGTCTGGTATTGCCTTAACTTATTTTACCCAAAATTAAAATTTGCAAGTTTCTAAGACTTTCTAATCCAGAAGATGGGAAATTCTCAATATAATTGTTATTTAAAAGAGTTGTCTTATATTCCAAGGTGTGATATTTTTTAGGTATATATGATATTTGGTTGTGACTGGCATTTAGTATCTTTAAATTATGAAGTAACTGAATTTCAGATGGAAGTGTTGATTAACCCGTTTTCTTGCAAGGACAGAATTTCAAGCCTTAGGAGATCTGCTGAGTCTGCCCTTGAAAAATTTTTATTTGATTCTTGTCTAAGAATAAATATTTTATGTATTTGACTTTTAAAATATCCTTAGGGAATACTTGTAAACCTTGGGCTTCAAGATTAACTGTAAACTTATCAGATTCTAAAGCAAATCCTCCTCATCTTCTTCAGAGGCCAGAGAAACTAACTTTTCCTGCTTTTTCCTGAGCTGGGAATGTAACTGACACCTGATAGTCTCCCACCATCTCTGTTCCTGCTGCTGCTGAAACTCTGTGAAGGTTCTGGCTTTACCAGCGAGCTGGCATCTCTGGCGTTTCTTTCAGAACGCTGAAGTTTTTTCTGTTTTTTCATTTTTGTTAGACTTGGTTTCAGAGAAAGGTGTTGACAGTAATGTGGGGTGTGTTTCATAAAACTGGTTGGATGGTTTTAGTTCCTGGTAATAAGAAACTTCATTTAACAAATTTGATGTGTCTTTAATGAATCTTGTCTCCTTCACCAACTGCGATCTAGATCTTTCTGAATTGCGGGGCAGTGCCCTCCTCTTCAGACATCTTATTCTCCACTACGCTTTATACCAACTCAGGATTGTAACTCTACTTTTTCGTGCTTTCTCCTTTGAACCTACAAAATAAACAACATTAAAGAAGTATTATAAAGATGTCACATTCCAAGTGAATGGTAACACAACTATTTTATTCTATAGGGAATAACTTAATAAGTAAAGACAATACAGCTATAACAAACTAATTTTATACAAGATAGTTTAATTGATTGAATGTGTTTTATCAATAATGTTACTTTTTAAATTACACTAAAATTTAGAAAAGAATGAGAAAGATCAAAGAAAATAAGAAAGGAAACATAAATGAATCTAGAAAAGGGACAGGCAGTTGGTCTACTGTGCCAAGGTGCATTTGCATTGTGGACGTTTTAGGTTTCCATGTGTACTAACGCGTTTGTTCTAACAAAAGCAGTACATCACAGCACCTTTTCCATGGATGGAAGTCAAATTCTCTTAAGGAAGAGGATGCTGTCTGTAAGAGTAAACAAGCAACACACAACCATGGTCTGACTGAGTTTTTCGTGATCCTCTTGAGTACCAACACCAGCTGGCAGCACCATCCACAGAGTCTGGCTCCCTGCCTCAAAGTGTGCAGCTTCTGATAACCCCATGTCTTTCTTCCCTTTGTCCCTGTATCCCTAGGCATGGCAGCCATTCTTCTATTTACTGTCTCTGTTACGCGCATTGCTGCAAGTTACGGCTTTACATTTTTGGTCCTCTAGTACTCATGGCTACTCCATATATTAAAATTCTATGAAATGGGTATTGTTTCAACATTTTTCAACACTCCCAGAAATAGAAAAGAGGGGGCTTTTTCCAGATTGGCTTAAGTAACCTTGGTATACACACTTAACAAAGGAGGATAATATGAAAAAACAATTTTTACTCAAGAACAAAAATGCAAAAATTCTAAACTTCAGAAAGACGTTGTATAACATTACAGTTCTAGCAATGATATGAAAAGATGAATTGAGTTTATGAATAACTTGCAATTGTCTCATAAATGCAGAGGCTGGACTTTAATATTAGGAAAATTAGTATAGTTTGCCACATTGAAGAGATTAAAAGAGGGGTAGGAAGGAGAGCTGTATTGCACACGCAACTGCTTAGCATGGCATAAGGTCTAGGTTCAATATCATAATCATGAACCGCCCAGAACAACCAATCAACAATAAGATGCAGAAAGCCATTTGAACAAAATGACACACTGCTTTCATGGCTTTCGAAAGAAAACTTTATTCAGTTGGAACACCAGTGGCTCACACCTCTAAATCCTAGTACTTGGGAAGACTGAGATAGGATTACAGTTCCCACAGCCAGCCCAGGAAATATAGTTCACAAAGACCCCATCTCCAGAACAATCAGAGAGCCCACAGTGCGACTGAACGGTAATGGTTCCAACAGTAAGACGGCACTGCTTCACAAGTGCGAGTGCCTGGGGTTCCAACCCCCACTCCCACCGAAATAAAACCAAATAAGAAAGAACTAGAAACTTAGCAAACTAGGAATAGATTGGAATTCCTTAATATGCTATAAAATATGTCCATAAAGAAGTCTTTAATTAATAAATTCTAACCCAGGTGGGTTGGAACCACTGAAAGACAGTTCTTTGAGATTGACCGCAAATGAAAGATTGCCCTTTCATCATTACTCTCTATTCAGATATTGTAATTGAGATCTTGTTAACCAAGTGTTTATAAGAGGCTAGGATCGGCTTCTCGAGCAGTAGCAAGAACAAAGGTATAAGATCACCGTAGTAGCCAGAAGCGATTAGGCCCAGAAGAAGGAATAAAAGGAATGACAAAATAGGTAAAGAAACTGTCAAAATTCCCTATTTGTGCAGATGACTGATCCTGTACTTTAAAGACCCAAAAAAACTCTACTCAAAAGCTCCTAGACATCATCAATAGCTATAGCAAGGTAGCAGGATATAAAATCAACATAGAAAAATCATTAGCCATTTCTATACACTAATAATGAACAAACTGAGAAAAGAATATATGAAAACAATTCCATTTACAATAGCCTCAAAAAAAATCAATACCTAGGTGTAAACCTAACAAAGGATGTGAATGACCTCTACAAGGAAAACTTATACCAACTTCTGAAGAAAGAGATTGGAGAAGACTAATAGAAAGTGGAGAGATCTCCCATGCTCATGGATTGGTAGAATCACATAGTAAAAAATGTCGATACTTCTCCCAAAAGCAATCTACATGTTTAATGCAATTCCATCAACATTCCAATGACATTCATTAAAGAACATTGAAAAATCTACCATTTAAATTTATATGGAAACACAAGGAGGCCACGAATAGCCAAGGCAATACTCAGTCAAAAGAACATGCATGGAGGTATCACAGTACCTGACTTCAAACTATATACAAAGCAATAACGATAAAAACAGCATGGTACTGGCACAAAAAGACATGAAGACACAGTGGAACAGAATAGAGGCCCAGATATGAAGCCACACAACTATAACCAACTTGTCTTTGACAAAGGCAGCTAAAAAATATACAATGGAGAAAAGCAGCCTCTTCAACAAAAACTGCTGGGAAAACTGGTTAGCGTCTGCAAAAACTGAAACTAGATCCATGATATCACCCTATACCAAGATTACTCAAAATGGATCAAGGATCTTAAATCAGACCCCAAACTCTAAAGTTGGTACAGGAAAGAGTAGGAAATACTCTGGAATTAATAGGTATAGGTAAGAACTTTCTCAATGGAACCCCAGCAGCACAGCAACTAAGAGATAGCATAGATAAATGGACTTCTAAAACTAAAAAGCTTCTGCTCAAAAAAGAAATGGAAGAAGAGACACCCACAGAGTGGGAGAAAATATTTGCCAGCTACACATCAGACAAAGGACTGATAACCAGAATATATAGGGAACTTAAAAAACTAAATTCTCCCAAAATAATGAACCAATAAAGAAATGGGCAAGTGAACTAAAAGAACTTTCTCAAAAGAAGAAATTCAAATGGCCAAAAAAACACATGAAAAAATGCTCACCATCTCTAGCAATAAAGGAAATGCAAATTAAAACCACACTAAGATTCCACCTCACCCTGTTAGAATAGCCATCATAGCAACACCACTAACAACAGGTGTTGGCGAGGATGTGGGGAAAAAGGAACCCTCTTACACTGTGGTGGGAATGTAAACTAGTACAACCACTCTGGAAAAAAATTTGGAGGCTACTTAAAAAGCTAACATTGATCTACCATTTGATCCAGCAATACCACTCTTGGGGATATACCCAAAAGACTGTGACACAGGTTACTCCAGGGCACCTGCACACCATGTTTATTGTGGCACTATTCACAATAGCCAAGTTATGGAAACAGCCAAGATGCCCACTACTGACGAATGGATTAAGAAAATGTGGTATCTATACACAATGGAATTTTATGCAGCCATGAAGAAGAACGAAATGTTATCATTCACTGGTAAAGGATGGAATTGGAGAACATCATTCTGAGTGAGGTTAGCCTGGCCCAAAAGACCAAAAATCGTATGTTCTCCTCATATTGGACATTAGATCAAGGGCAAACACACAAGGGATTGGACTTTGATTACAAGATAAAAGTGAGAGCACACAAGGGAAGTATGGGATAGGTAGCACCTAAAAACTAGCTAGCATTTTTGCCCTCAATGAGAGAAACTAAAGCAGATACCTTAAAGCAACAGAGGCCAATAGGAGAAGGGGACAGGAACTAGAGAAAAAGGTTAGATCAAAAGAATTAACCTAGAAGGTAACACACACGCACAGGAAATTAATGTGAGTCAACTCCCTGTATAGCTATCCTTATCTCAAAAGCAAAAACCCTTGTTCCTTCCTATTATTGCTTATACTCTCTCTACAACAAAATTAGAGATAAGGGCAAAATAGTTTCTGCAGGTAGTAAGGGTGGGGGGGAAGAGGGAGGGGGCAGAGGGAGGTAAGGGAGGGGGTGGGGCAGGGGGGAGAAATGACCCAAATGTTTTTTTGTATGCACATATGAATAATAATAAACAAAAAAAGAAATTATCGAGAGTAGGGACAGCAATAAAAGCTGCCCATTGGTGCACCAAGAATACCATTGAAAACCCACATCTTCCCACAGATATCAATTGATTAGAATATCTATAAGCACATAAGTTAATCTTGCCTAAATGCAGACGTATAACATAAGTCTTTCTAAACTTTAGAAAACCGTTCATAATCAGTTTTAATATAAAAGACCTATTTCACAACTAATTGCCTTTTTTTTCCCAGAACTTTGTTGAAAGAAGTAATTTTCCTTTCTTATGCTGGCAAAAAGGGACTTAGACAATGAGAAGTTCAGAGAGGCTATTTACAATCAACAAGAAAATATCATACCCTAGATAACCTAACCAAAAATGGGTGCAGGAATTCTACAGAATAATACCTATTTCTGTTACTACAAAATATAATTAGAGAAAATTAGAGAAAGACCCATATGATGGGAATTTTCATATAATTTGGGACGTCAGTGTTTGAAACTTATAAATTGAAAAATAATCTCAAAGTTAAAATCCTAACGATTGTTTTTGTAGAACTTAACAAGTTGATTTTGGGAACAGGAACAGAGGGTCACAAAATTACTCATGTCATTTTTTTTTTGCCAGCACTGTGGGTTTGGAACTCAGAGTCCCTTGGCACTCAGTTGAGCGGCTATCCTGAGAGCCACTCCCCCAGCTCTCCAGCGCCCCCCCCCCCTCTTTTTTCTTCACTTCATTTTGTTTTTCAAATAGTGCTCTTTCACCCCCCTCTGGCCTC